ATACAGCACTTAGAGTTATTTTCAACTTAAAAATGACCCAAATAAGATAAACTGTTGTTTGTAAATTACAGGGCTATATTCACGCGGCATCTTGTGATATATTTTGATTTTGTTTAAAGAAACTATATTAGGTGGTAACAAGATAAAATAGGAAAAGGAATTCTCGTTCCTATAAGAAAAAAACAATTTTTTTCATAAAAGCAAAAATTGATGGAACATCATTTTGATTTTTTTGCAAGAAAAATATATACACGTAAAATAAACTTTAATTTGTAGATTGTAGAGCTGTTCATCTTGCATCTTATGATATATTTTGTTTTTTAATGAAACGTTTTTAGAGATAAAAATATGAAAAGGAAAGTGCGACCATTTATTATGCAACACTCGTTATATTTAGTTTAATTTCGTATATTTTTTTTTCAATGAAAGTCGACTCTATAGTGGAATACCTATGAATATAAAGTATAGGCCGATTAAAAACAAATGCCAGTAAAACATTTAATACCACCATATTAATATAACAACTAATAATTTATAAAAGAATGCTTCTTCTGAATTATTTCTAATTTCGCTCAAAAAATTTTATGCATAGTAAATAATGTATCAATATTAATTTACGTATCAAAATAATTCATTTGATTTTAAGATATTGAAAACGCACTGACTGTAACATAGTTTTTTTTAAAATTAATAATAAAAAATCAATATTAATGCTGATTATTATCTTTTCCTATCCATTCAGGTAAAAAGACACATAAGTATCAATCAGATTTAATCAATAAAATAATAACGAAATATAATTTAAATCAGAATTATCTTAGAAATAATAATTCATTTTTTTTTATCATTTACTACTGTTTTTAAATATTGACCTTGATTATGTCAGTTGAAACAGGTTGACAATACAAAATGTAATAAAGATAAGAGAGCAATACGAAAAGTACAAAGACACAAAGTACGGATATTGCAAATATAAATTCAAACAATATAGCTTGTTTGAATCTTCAATTATACTTAATTCAATAGGAATATTTTATTTTCCAAAACACACGAAATCATATAACTGTAGATTTATTATTTGATTCATCATTTATAAACAATTTTATATTAATCATAGATTCAAACATCAAGTTTTTCATAATAGAATCAAACTTGAAAACTAACATTTATATTTCTCTTTCAATTATGTAAGAAAATGTTCGACAATAATTTGTTTGTAATAATTCCAATATGCAGAATAATTTTCATCTTTATTCGTGATTATTTTATAGATATGTATTTAAATCATACTAAGTTTAGTAACTGTAAATTTTATGAAAGTATCTTATCTATTTCTAAACTACTCTTCATTAAACTTACCAATACAACACAGTTTTAAACTGTTTTCGAGAGTGTGACGTACGAGTGACAGTATGGGTTAAGAAACGATGCACATCTATATTCATGCCTCACACTGAACTTTCATACCAAGTGGTTTATTCCTTTCTTTGGATGTAGACATACCAAAATTGAAAATGCTACTTGACAAAAGTATCTGCAAGCATGAAGAAGTGTGATAAGAACAGATCATAGATCAAAATTGATTGCTAACAAATAATATCTGGACAAAAGTGAGAAATGTTTTAGGAATCAACTACATATCATCCTTTCTTTTAGTCATAAACCACTAGTTAAATAGATTCGCTAACCTTGTGAGTTAAACTAGAAGGTTGAAGCTTCCCAAAAGTTTGAAAAAAATTCAGAAAAATCAGTGAAGAGTATTTGGGTTTATTCTAAAATTGCACTTCTTACACAAATGGTATAATAGCTATACACCTGATCCAAATTGTAGAAATCTTTTCTAGCTTCCATTTTCATCGAATCTCTACCCAATTGCCTTGATTTGACGTGTCAGATGTGTTTGAACGTTCCTGGACGTTTTTTTAATATTTCTTTTGAAACATTCATCTCTACAAGCGTTCAGTGTAAGATCTCTGTCTTTTATCCAATCCTCTTCTTCCTAAGTATATTTTGAATGACAAAAATCTCAACAGTCAAACATAAGTCTGTATAATAATATTGTGCAAATTATATGTCGCCAACATCAAGCAATAGGGCCTAAACAAACTAGACGAAATAAAACTAAATTAACCAATTGGATGCTCAGAAAAGTTAAATCAGAGTTAAGTCATCTTTTTGAGATGATCTAACGTTAATGTATCGATGGGGTATGTGTGTCGTTTCACCAATAAAAAAAAAACATATGACGCCGCCTTTTTTCACACATTTATCATCGAGACATATATAAGTAATGGCTCTAATGATTTTAATCAATGTCAAGCAAAAATATTGTCTGTTCCACAAAGCTGTAGTCATATTTGTACATAAAATAGAATTTAAAAATAATGAAAATATAATGCAGAATGTATCAATGAAAAAATGGTACGCATGATAGAATCATCTCTCATTGCATAAGAATATCTTATTATGCATTACACTTACATCAAAGAGGCTTGCTCGATGTTGTAATTTATGATTTTACTGCTTAGTGTGAACGCGTTTTGATTTAAAACAAAATTAAGTTAATTCACTTTTCTAGTGTGTTTGGACCCATAGAGTGCATATTTGAGTAAATTCAGAAGAGCATGTGATTTTGACACAATAGATTTTAAAAAAATAAAGTACTCTGCATGCGCATATAAAACATGCGACAATAGAGTCGATGTCCCTAATAACGACACTAGAAATTTATCTTATTTTGGCTCGGTGCACGACTATTTTAAACTCGATTGAAAATATTTTTACATACGCAAAATCTTTGAAGTGTCCTCTTTCAAATGATGTAACAACCACCTTTCACTGAAATGTAGAAGTCAAGAAATCAGCGGTCTNATCTCTTCTATTATCGAGTAAATTTCTGCACCTACGGATATTTCGTTCTTTTTTCATTTCTTTTTGTGAATATCATATTCACTCATCAATAATACCGTGTTGTTTTTGACGTAAGTGAGAGAAAACATATACAATAATAAACACGTAAAGGTTTGAATCTATCGTTTGAAATAATGTTAATGTTGCCTACTTTAGAAGCTCGCATTATTCGAACAAAAAGTGGTATAGGTTGTTGAGTTAGAGATGCCTCGAAGCAATAAGAAGTGGTGCGCTCATCCAATCTCTCACGAAGGTACAAGAAAGTCGGGTCCGGGCGCTCTTCGTCCACGTGGAGATCGGCCTATTGATAATGATCTAGCCGCGTTCATCACACAAGAGTATTATCAAGCGGATGCGAATGTTGGATTCGCTCTATCTGAAGGTGATCTTCTATGTCGAACTTGTTACGAGACAGAGTCAACTCGATTTCATAGCAGTTTGGTCGTGGAAGTAAATTCAATAGCAGTTGATTCACCGTTATCTGCAGGGAGCCGACACATGGCAGAGACTGTCGAAACGAAATACAAGCTTGAACAGCCCAAAGAACTGCTGAATCAGGTATTCCAGATACTAGGAATTGAGAAGATTAGAGATGTGTAAGTACATCGTCGTATGTTCCATTTCTTAACTTGGTTTCCGTTTAGGCGACTGACAAATCAAGTAGACAAACAAGTGACGATGGCTATCGAACTGATTCGATCCGCGGCAGAAGCCTTGCGACACTCGGAAGACATCGCCCAGCTCTCAAGTCACTCATCGCTTAAGCTCGCTGATAAGGAATATCTTCTCGACGGTTTCAAGTTTTTAATAAATTCCAGTGACCGACACGAGCAAATTCGTCTTCTTACTCTGGCTCCACCTGAATGGGGAAGAACGAAAGTTGAGGAATACTTCGGATGCTCTCGCTATTTGGCTCAAAAGAGCATCTCTCTTCGCGAGTCATACGGCAAGTTGGCCGTACCTGTTGACTGGCGCGGCAACACCTGTCTTGATCCGCTCCTTGCCCAAGAAATTATCGATTTCTACAGTGATGATGCCATTAGCCGTCAGTCTCCTAACAAACGTGATGTATTTCACGTTCAAAAGAATCCCGTTGCCATTCGACACATGTCAATGACTGTAGGTCAAGCCTATCAACTCTTTGTACAACAGTTGCAAGCCAAGCAGGCACTCAATTCTGTACAAAAATCGAGCTTTTACAACCTAAGACCAAAATGGATTAAGGTTAAGAAGCCACACGATGTTTGTACTTGCATTTATCATGAGAACTTCGAACTACTCATTCAGGTAGAATTCCACATAAAGGAACCCAGGATCTATTTTGTTTGATAGGGTTGGAACAACCTGGATATCAACACCATGAATATGAAAAGTCTCATTGCTGAATGTGTGTGTTCTTCGCAAACGGAAACATGCTATTTTCGAGAGTGCGATGACTGCAAGTGGTTGCGGCCTGGTAGCTTTCTTTTCAGTGAGCTTCTGGATTGCCAGAATGTGACACTTGATGATAATGTTACTTGGATGACTTGGAAATCAGTGAGTGTCTCCCTCTGTGCGTTGTTTACCTATAATCTAAAGTTGATTCTCTCCAGCCTGTGTCGACGAAGAGGGTGGGCGATGCTGACGACGAGCCGACCACAGTTGCAAAGATCTCAATGCAACGTGTCAGCGGCTCGATTCGTGATCTGCTTGAGGAGTTCGATGTCAAGTGGGCAAAGTTTGCTGTCCACCACTACTGCACTCGTCAACAGCAAGAGTACGTTAAAAAGATTAAAGGAGAAGCTCGTGCAGATGGAACAGTGGTAATCCAAATGGACTTTGCCGAAAATCATTCGCTGATTGTTCAGCACGAGATCCAGCAAGCTCACTGGACAACCCCACAAGCCACCATTTTTACGGTGCACATAACTGTAGACAAAACCATTCAGCACAGCCTCGCTTTTATTAGCGATCACCTTGATCATAATATTGATTTTGTTCATGCTGCTCAAAGTGTAATTGTTCAATTCATTCGACATCGCTATTCCACCGTGAAACGAGTTAACTATATCATCGATGGAGCTCCTCAACACTTCAAGAGCAATAAATCGATGCTGAATTTAACTTATCACGAGAGTGATTTCGGAATTCCTGCCGCATGGACATTCTCTGCTACAGCACATGGGAAAGGTCGAGNTATTCAAACTCCACCAACTCATGTTGTAATTATTCGTAATGGTCATCTATTTACATTTGATTTATATGAATCAAAGAAACTTTTGACACCACCTGAAATTCTTCGAAAACTTGAAGATATTGTTAAACAAAGTGATCACAGTTCTGGACTTGGATTAGGTGCTCTTACTGCATTACCACGTGATGAATGGGCAGAAGTAAATTAAAACAAATTATTATTTTTTTTTAGTATTTAAATGAATTTTAGATACGTCATCATTTATGTCAAATGAATGAACAAAATAAAATCAATTTTCAAATTATTGAACAAGCATTACTTGTTTATGGATTGGAAGATGAGAATGCTGAAAATTTAACAGAGGTAGAGTAAATATGAATTATGTCAATAAATCGATAAAGTATCAATGTGAAAGTACAGGACGCAGATTATAGTCGAATTTTTTAAACTAGTTTTCTTAGACTCTACAACAGCTATGAATCTACTAACAATAGCAGTATATGCACCTCTTCAACTCTACTAGACTTTGTATTAGAACGAGATTCATATAAGGAGCACTGAGTACATATAATCTATAAGGTGTATAGGTAAACAGGGTGTAACACGTGTTCAACTTGAAAGTTGATTTCAATTACTCAAGAATTATAAAAACATTTGTCGATCTTTTTCTTTTACTTTTCGATACTATTGGAAAGAACGTATAGAAAGGTAAATGATAAACCTGATGAACTTATCTCTATATCTATTGCATCCTATACTACCTAAACATTATCAGATAGAGAACTATGTGTGTGTCTCCACAATCTTTTCAAGGCTAGTGGTACTAATATTTACTAGAAAAAAAAAAAGTTCTAGAAAATCATGTTTTAAGAAAATAGACTTACTGTATGAAAGATTTATTATTATTATTTCATCGAATGTAGAATTTAATTCTCAATAAACTATATAAAGATTACATTCAACTGATGAAAATATTTAGTTCGTTTCGCATTAGAAAAAAAAAACAATGCCATAGGTGTATACATCCAAAGATGTAGAATTTACAAAAGATTTCATGAGATAACTGAAATTTCAGCGAAGTCTTCATTAGAAAATATTGTCATCAATTTCTCGTTTTGTTGATTGATGCAGTTGAGTGACTGAATAGATGTTTATCTTTCAAATTTCGCACTGATAAGGCATTTTTGTGGAGCTTGTAGCTCTCTATCTTTTGATATAAGAAGAAATTCTTCTTATGATTAAGATACAAGAAAAAAATGCACTAAGATTTAGTGGAATTTCTTCTGTGGCACCCATTAGTTCTTGTATATAATGAAAGACTAAATTTGAATATTTAGCTTGCTCGTATTGGCATGTTGAAAAATCCTCAATCACGTTGGTTTGATCGATCGAATTTTTATATTGTCACACGGAATGGTCTTATTGTAGCAAATGATGAAGTAGTTCTCTATAATACCTTACATAAATAATCATTTAAAATAACTCTTATATTTAGCACTCAGCTTATGAAGGTATTATTCCGATTCAAATTACTGATCATGTACGAAATCATATTGATTCTCTTGAAAAGTTAAATTCATGGCCAATACCATCTGATCCTCATAATAAAATAATTGTTCGAGAACTTTTATTTATTTACGATTCACGTGTATTAAATGCTATTAATCGTGCAGTTACTTTATTTTATCATTCAGCAGATAATATTGAAGTTATTGTCATCAATGTAACTCAATGTACAAAAGAAGATATTAAACAATATGTTCGTATTCATCCAGATAGTTTTTTTCAATTATGTCTTCAATTGGCTTATTTTAAATTACATGAACATAGACCTGCACCTACTTATGAAACAGCAGCAATACGACGTTTTTATCGTGGAAGAACTGAAACAATACGAACTTGTACACCAGAAGTAGTTGCATGGTGTCGTGCAATGACAAATTCAGATAATCAATTAACAGTAAAATTTATATTTTTTGCCTTATGTTTGTAATTTAATTGTAATATATATATATATATATAGGAAGTTGAAAGAAAATTATTTCTTATGGCTGCTAATCGTCATCAAGAATTAATAACTGAAGCATCGGAATGTCAAGGTTGTGATCGACATTTATTTGGATTGAGTATGATAGCACATTTAGCAGGAAAACCATTCGAACTTACAAATGATCCATCATGGATAAAAAGGTTTTAGAAGAAAAAATTTATTTCTCCTCTAAATCGTTTTGTTTTTTAGTGGTGGAAATAGTAATTTTATTTTATCCACAAGTTGTCTTGGTGTCGGTACATCATTAGGTGGAACAGCACCAATGTGTTTAAATGGTTATGGAGTCTTCTATCGAATTGGTAGTGATGCGTAAGTAAAAACAAATATGATCGTAATGATTTATTTATATGTTTTTTTTTTTTTTATAGAATAACATTTTTCGTCAGTGCTTATCGAAATTGTTCGGATACAAATGCACAAGCATTGGCAGATTCGATTGAACATACTTTAATTCAAGTTAAAACATCTTTTATGAAATCAAATTTGTTAATGTAAATTTTTTTTCTATGAGATGATGAAATTAATGTTTATTATTCTTTTAAACCTGTATATAAAAGTTGTTTGAAGTTCAAAGACTTTTAACGAATATCTGAAGTAGTGCAATATTTACACTTTTGATTTTTTTTTTTCTAATGAGTCGTTTACGTTCATTGAATTTGTATAAATACCATCAATCTTTATGTATCATACGGATATATCTAGCGACGTAAGTAGGGCCCGTTGGATACTAGTCAATAATGGTAGAGAATGTGATGATAAGAAACTAGACAAGAACATCCCTGACAATTAATTCTGAATTCCGAAAATTTTCATAAAACTAATGTTTATTTTTAAACCGCGGCGGCAACTCAACTGATCACCTTATACCTCTGAATATGTCTAAGACTGAAACAAAATTTGAAAAATTTTTTTGCAAGCGGATTTTTGCTATATTTTCGATTGTATGGCTTCTGATACGATCAATGCCACAGTTTCTTGCAAGTTCGAGAGAAGAATCTTTTACAATCATGTTACCATAATATATTAAAATTTTGATGCAAACAAATCCAATCCTGAGGACATTTCATGAAATCGTACGAAAAGTACATCATTTATTTTAGCCTTCATCGCAGTTCTCTTATTAGAAACTGTCGTTTGATTACAATTTTTAGCAAAGAGAGAACAACTAATACGACCAAAGCCCACCGCGTCTGCACTAAACACGAGACGAATTTCTATCTATCAGTAAAGCTCATACGACAAATTTTCGATTATCAATGGATTATTAGAGTTTTCCGATCAAGTTACTATTGAGAAAATCAACACACTAATGATAAATTAGTCTTCAGGCAATAGATATTATGGAATAGTTTCTATTAAAGAATACCACTCCTCTCCTCTTTTATTGACGATATTCAGTTCTCAACGAGGATAAAGTCAATCGAGCTGAAACTTTTATCATAGATAGAATAACTCTGAAAGAGTAAGTTGACGTAGATCGAATGATATCTGTAATTACATAGGACATTTGATATTATCATTCTATATATCCCGCTCGAAATCGATTGTTTCGTCGAAAAAGAAAGGAGATCCTTAATAAAAATTCATCGAATTTATTAGCTATTATCATTTTCATGTTAGATATTGAATCGTTGATTTTAGTAATAAAATAAACATTTCAATTTCTTTCGTTGATGATAGATAAA